CCCAACCCCTTCACCCTTCTTCCCCGCCGCCGTGCCAAACCACGACCATCTCACGGCAGCTGAAATTAAACGAAAAGTTGTACCTCATCTAAGAAGAACCCCGAAACTCCTCTATATTCTGACATAGTTATTTTGACATGGCCATTTGAGATTTTGACAAACTTTATAGGCGTCATACTGTCTAGCACCGGGTAATCGTGGCGTGCGGGTTCCCGGGAACCTCTGATTCAATGAAATCCACGACAGTGCCTACATCACCTGACGATGGGCGGCTCAGCAGATCCCACATACTCCTCTCACTATAGCTCAAGAGGTTTCTTTTACTTCATTGCCTTGGTCAGCAGTGTTACTGGGACGTAATGAAAATGCGTTTTTTAAACTGAGGCCGGTACATATATTTGACATACATGACACAAAACTTACAAGATAAAAGAAAAATAACAGTTTGGACAAGAGAATGGAGTTTAAATTTTGTTGGAAGTTCAAAATTGAACTTTCATACACAAAGAAGCACTGAGTGTATCAACATTTAACCAGATCACAAAGCCTGCATGGAAATAATGGTCTCATTTCATTGAAGTATTGAAAACTAGCAATGAAGCATAAAATCTAATATTGAGGGTACGTTTGGCAACGTACATTTATTTATGACGGAGATGTTATTTAAGTGAATGCAATATATACTAATGGGGTTCATGAGGAACCAGAATAAATAGGAATGTTTTACATCACAAGACTTTTGTAATTTGAATTTTGGGGAACATGAACTGGTAACTGAAATGCTGCACAATCTTAACAACTATGTAAAATAACAATAGAGTGAAAGACACATTTCCTTCCATAAAAGCAAACTACATCGTCATTAAGAGAAATGCTGTCCAGTTCAGAAATGTCCCTAACAAAAGACAGTGGAAAATATGTAGACAAGGACATTAATACACAAGTATGATATCACAGTAATAATAATCATGAATGCATTTGCAGAACACATGGTTCTGTGGTTTGACATATGGATACAGACAGAAACAAACTATGTAATCACGTAATACCATTTTGTTTACACGAAAGTTTTGCGGTGCTGTTTTGTTTTAAGGTTCAGAACATTAACATAAAGATAAAATGTGACCACACTTTTGATACATAATTTACGGCCAGATAATAGGAGACTATAATGTAAGGCTGTACATACAGGTAAAAACAAAATAATTAAAAAATTACTTGCTAAATTTTAAAACTCTTTGAATAGAAAGTTACTTGCTGAAACAGTTACATACTTTGCATGAAAGCATAAACCTTAGTCTTTATGTGAGAGACCTTAAAATATCTTTGGGTTAAATTCTCATAATTAATCAGATAAATGATACAATGAAAGTAAATAAAAGGAATGACAATGCCAGTAAAAGTTGGACATAAGGAATAATACACAACAGTAAGCAGGCTACTCAAACAAAGCACACCTTTTTCTTCTTAAATGGCTGGTAAAACAAGCATTTAGATTAATATGATTACAAGGGGTCATGCTAAATTTGTATTTGGAAAATAAAGGAACACTACGGTAAATCATGATTTACGAGTGTATATGATGCTATTCAGAATCCATGAATGGCGAATGCATACAGAAAATGAGCCTGCCGCCTTCACACCCCACACAAACATACAATTCAATAAGGATAATAAACAAGTCAATTTCATATTTGATGGCACAAAGTATAGAGCATTATTTACAAAATATTGCATACCTAACTCACAATATGACCATGTGTATTATCTTTAAAATGTATACAACACAGGCACTAATTACTTGCTGATCTCTTCATCACATTTTTGATCTTCAGTACTAAAGTAGCCATAAAATTCAGTCTCAGATTAAATATACAAGCCAGGCTCTATATGAAAAATATATATCGTAGCACATGCAGCCACTTCTATTGCAATACTACATACCAACAGCATAGCTTGCAGCGCCCTTACGCAATATTAACGATCATGACTTGCCCCACCATACAATTTATTTGTCAGGAAGGCACCGTACCAAGGCTTTGACTTAGGAACATAAGTTTACTAATAATTTCCTTTTTCTTTACAATTAAAAAATTGGATTTGACAATCAAACTTACAAAATTCAATGGGGGAAAATGCCCAAATTGGTCCATGGTTTAAAACAATAATACCCTACAGTAGGACACATACCTAAGCGTACAAACACTTCATAAACAAAATATGAATACAATAAAATGGTAGAAGGCAAAAGAAAAGTTCTGTCTGTGTCCGTCCCACCACTAGGATGTCTTAAGTGCAACTACAATGATGTTTAACAAAATTTCAGCGTGCTTACAATATGTATAGGTATCTATTTATAAACCTGGAGCACGCTGCTCAAATTTTGAACCTCACAGTACTTACACTCAAATATGACATGTTGGTGGAGGTCACAGAATGTGAAAGGCACAAAAATTTGGATTAACTAATTTAAATAATTGATGGACATGTGAGTTTGAAGTCTTCAACATTCATAGATGTAAAAATGACTATATTGTGATGCTATACAATATTATTGTCAAGAATAACAGTTTCAAGACAAACTTGTAATAAAAACACTGTTAGGTAGGGAAGAGATAAACTCATAGAAAAGAGGGAGTGGTGCGGAACAGTGATTCTAAAATAATACCAAATGTGATAGAATAAAATATCTAAAAACTAACAACACAATAAATTCAAAACTAAAATTTAAAAAAAAGAGAAAAATATACAAATACTGAATGAGGAATGTATAAAACATCATAAAACCACTTTAAAACTTAGGACATGTATGTAGGTACATGACACAATGTTTGAGAAGAATAGAATATTAACAAAATCTAACTGACGTAATAAATATAAATCTCAAAAATAATAATAATAGTAATAATAATATTTTAATGGTAAAAACAGTATTGCTAATAAATTGGAACACCAATGTTCAGATCTGGCAAAATGAGGGATGTTGTTGAGTGTAAGAAACCACAGCCTAATTCAGTGATAAGTCTAGTCATAAGAAACAGTAAGAAATATTTGAGTAAGAAATAATTCAGACTTTGTGGCCATTATCTACAATTGAAAGTGAAAGGCAGTTGTGAAGGTACAATTATTAATTACAAGAAAAAAGATAAAAAAACAAAATGGAATGTGCAGCGGACCACTGAGATTTACACCTCACTCATTAACAAAGAATTCAGAGTATGGCTAAGTGGTTTGTCAGTCAGTATATAGACAAGACAAATAGTAGAGGTAATTATAAAGCAGTGCTTTCAACAGGTGATGAGGCATCTACAAATCCACAAGATCCATCTAATGATGTTGATTGTCCTTCCTTGATGGCATGTAAAGGAGGTGGATTTGGTCGGACACTTTCTGGTGTTCTGGCCTCAGGTGTAGTGGACTCACTTGAATTTGGGCTACGGCCTGTTTAAAATAAAAGTTATGAATGTTAGGATAAGAGATACTTAGAATTGGGAACCAACTACATCAACTATTCAGGGAAAGAAAGTTTGGTTTGGCTCTTACCAGAATAATTGTATATGTCCATCTTAAGATCATTTGGAAGGGGTGCACCAACTGATATGTGCATTTTGAGGCCTTCTAACCAAACTTCCATTACTTCAAAAGGAGGCCTGCAAAAGTTACAAAAAAAGTGGATTTGCTAGTGCCTATAGGTCAACAATAACAAGCATTTACAATGGTAATAACTCAACCAAGACAAACCTTTTGTCAGGATTGAGGTCACAGCAGAGAAAAGCAATTTTGTAGAAAGCTTCTGGGCAATTGGAACAAAACTTATCTCTAAAAATAGTCTGGTTCAAACCAAAGTCAGATGACCTGGGTAGGTAGTCAGGATCAGCTAGTACTCTTCCAATGATTTCACAGAGTACAATACCGTAAGAGAAAACATCAACTTTTTCGTCATATTTGTTTCCTTTCATCATTTCTGGAGCCATCCAATATGGATTACCTACAACAGTATATCGTTTTTTCCTCTCACAACGTCTGTTTCCAATACCTCTCTTGTTTCCAAAACGTCTCTTGTCTGCTCCCACATTGACATTAGATTGACTTTGTGAAATTATTCTTGCCAAGCCAAAATCAGCCACGATTACAGTCTTGTCGTCCCTCACAAGACAGTTGTTTGAATTGAGATCTCTGTGAATTATATTCTTTTGATGAAGATATGCCATGCCAGACGCAATATCCTTTGCAAAACTAATTCTTTGTTCCCATGGTAGGGACTCCGAAAGATCATGAACCAAATCTTTTAGGGTGCCACCAGGTACAAACTCTGTTACTAAATGAAGACGTTTTTCTTTGTAGAGGACTCCAATAAATCTTAAAACATTGCAATGATGTAAACTACGTAGGACAGCCACCTGGGGTGAAAGAGGCAGATATAGTGTTAATGTAATAGGAATTAGAATAAAGCAAAATAATAATAATGTAACAACCAGACCTCTTTGAGAAAATTTTTCTGCGCCTCTTCATCAACACGATATAACTCTTTCAAAACCATTACTTCACCAGTTTCACGATGAGTAACTTTGTAAACTTGACCAAAGAATCCTTGGCCAAGTAGCTCCCCTTTAACAAGATCAGAAGCCCTGAAAATGCGTTGGTTCTTTGGTTCAACTCTGAATGAATGGGTTCTTGACAGATCACATGATGCTTCCCTGTTGGCTGGAGGTGACCTGATTTTTCCGCCAAAAAATTTTTATTGACATAAGACATCCGAGAAAAAAAAAAAGATACCAAAACTTAAGTATAGTCAAACAATAGCATACCCCTCCAACAATCTTGACATAGATGATGATCGCTCTTTGTTGCAGCTTCCTCTGCTTCGCCGCAATTGTCGAGAAGATCGTGAGCTACTCATGTAGCCCTCATCTTTTCTTCTGAATATTCTCTCTCTATCAGAGAGTGACTTCGGACAACTTGCACTTTCAAATGATTCTTCACTTTTAGAGGTTATTGGGGTATTTGTGTCATCTCCATCTTTATCTCTCTTTTTGCTTATATCAGACAGAGCCTCAATAGCACTGTTTACTATTAGTGATGAGGGAAATAATAGTCTTCTACTAAGTGCATCAGGGTCATGTTCTATTGTTAACTGTTACAGAAAAGTAAAAGTCACAGTGTCTACCTGAAATTTGCCGGCTTATCAGTATAGTCTTTGCAACTGTTAATCCCTATAAATACCTGTAAGGATTGGTCCGAACATCTTATCAGGTTTTCAATTTCTTGTACGGGCTGATTTCCAATTGGAGATCCATTCACTTCCAATATTTTATCACCTATGTGTAATGACATTAGATCAGCACTCATATCCAACCTGGAACATAAAGAAAAAATACTGTAAGAGAAATTGAAGAAAAATCACAAATTTGGTTGAAAATTGTTCAAAAGAATTGGATATCTGTAGACACACAGACAAGGTCGCATTGTGATGGAAGCTTAAATTACTAAACACCATTTGGTTGGACATCTACACTTGTCGCAGGATTAAGTTAGGCTACTGGTGACATTAATATCTACATATCTACATATTTAGATATTGTACAAATATTAAAACTTAGACAGAAGGCTGTAAATTTTCAATGGTTTCGTAGATAATACCAGTTAACTTCTGTAAATAGTAGAATTAATATTGGAAGGCACTCATACCGTATAGCTCTATGTTGGCGTCTGAATGGAATTGATCGATTCAAACGAAGTTCACAGCAAAATCTAAAAGCTGCTGCCAAAATGGAAACTGCGTACTCATACACCTTGTGGCGGAGATTAGACAGGAACCTGTAAAGCATTAGTAGTTACTTTTGTTAAGATGCAAAAAATAATAATGTTATGCTATGCAAAAATGTTGTCTGAAAAAACGTAACTATTCAGAATTATTACCCCCTCCCCTGTAAATAGTAAAATGAACACTGGCAGGCAATAACACCTACTCCGCCTTTAAGCTCCTCCAATAGGAATACAACAGAATGATCATGATAGATTTGCTTATAACTGATTTTAACTCTGGAAATTGAGATTTTAAAAGTATTGTAGTACTTGTAAGACATAGATAGCCTAGTATGGTCATGTTAATTGCTTTTAACATCATTTAACAGATTATCCACTAATATGGGATTTTCCGCCAGTACCCTTAGCTGCATAATGCGGGTTTCACTGTACACATCAGAGGTAATCCCATAATAAGTTTTAAAAGAATATGTTACATATTTACATCAAAGTTGCTAGATTAAGATTTTCTCATGCATTTATCACAAAGCCAACTTACTGTGAAATTCGTAAGCCTTGCCCTGCAGCTGGTCTTCCATGAGCACTCTCTAAGCATAACTTAATACCTCTTTGACTTCTATCCCCAGCCGCAGGAATTTCAACCAATCTAATAGAATGAGGTTTCCGCACGAAGGGAGCTGTAGCCATAGTTTTAGAGAGTGGCTGCATTTGACGTTTGTAACAAACACCACTACAAAGAAATTGTATTTTTCAATGGGCAACTTTTAAATTTATATAAACACACAGTTAAATGAGAAATAAAAATATACACATCAATGATCTTACCAGTATAATTTTGAGCGCTCCACCAATGCATAAGATTCACCATCTCCAATAAAGCATGAGCAAGACGAGCACCGAAAACATTCTGGATGAAATTTATGGTCTCCTGCAACCATGACTGGACCTGTAATGACCTAAATAACAACAACAAAAACAACAACAAAAAAACAGTTAAGAATCCCGAAGCTTTTAAGTATTAGCGTACAACTACATTTTTTGTTTTTATAAACGAGTTCTAAGAAGCATACCTGAGAGCAATCTTGACAAGACTCTCCATACTTTGACCAATAGTCATCTTTGCAGAAGAGGAGACCATCTTTCTCAAAATACCATGTTGACAGCGCAATATCACAGGCCGAGCACCTATAAAGAATTAAAGAGAGAGTATAAAATTTCCGATTGTTGAAATAAAAATTAAATGGCCAATTACAATGCTATGGTATTATACAAGGTATTTAAAACAACAAAAAAAATCTTTAAAAAAAGACCAAAGGTAGTACAATAATTTGAGATATGAAATAATCTGCAAAGACTGCAAAATGATGATTAACCAATGTGCAAGGTAAAACTCAATAAATACAAACCTGAAACATTCAGTGTGCCAATCCTGGTTCAGGGCACGTATGTACTCATCATTCACATTATTCAGGCAACCAGAGCAATATGAGGGTATGTGAGAAGCATCTCCATCAGTTTCGTCGGGAGTAGTCCCTGAAATTATAAATTTTATTGTGTTCATTGTGTTTGAAACAGTTTTGCAAAACAGAGTTTTGTTTACAACCCTTAACCTCCGAGAGCTGATGAGACTCATCGAGGAATGTAAATAACAAAACAATGAGAAAAGACAAAAGTTATGTTAAGCCAAAATTACATATAAGCGTAAAAGGTTCAAGGAGGAATTTGCATTCCAGCAGTTCAATTTATTAATGAAGACATGTTGACATTTGTCAGAAGGCTGACAGAGTGTAACAGACGAATCTTTAATGAACTGTTCCTGAACAGAGCGAGAAGCAAGTTTGATCCAAGTTTGGAAACGGCAGTGGCTCGTGAAGAAAAACAACGGTTCGTACCTCCTGACACGTTACTGTCCATCACAATGACATTTACGTCAAAGAAGATTATCGTTCGATTTCATGGATTTCATGGCATTTCGCTTACTACTATTCCACCGCCTGCTCATGACATGAAGACGAAACGTAAACAAACGCATGCTGCGCCATCTACCGGGTGAGCTTCCAGGAACTACCTGCTCATGGCATGGGCTCATGGGATTAGGGAATGCAAGCCTAAATTTTTTGAACATTTCTGTTGATTTGATTGAGTTCTTTCGTGAAAGGGCGTCATGAGTACCTCACCCAATTGTACCTATATTTATGAACTGCCAGAAAATGTGCGAATACGTTTGTGCTTTGTGCTGAATATCGAGGATTGTTGGAAGTGGCTGCGTAAGTAATCAGGAAATTTTACCAAGGAAAATGTTTATGTTGATTATCTGAAAACTGTTTGTATTAATTATTATTCGCCACAACTGTTTTTGTTTCTGGAATCTCTTCCAGATGCTATATTTTATGATGCAGAGGAGGGCAGAATAAGATATGATCAGGATCAGATTATGGAAGTTTGTGGTACGTCACCATCAAGTCAACTTCTGAAAGTATTGGGAGACAGAAATTTCACCATAGATCATCTGTATTTGGCCTTAGCTTCCTTAAACTTACCGAGAGCTATGGGCCTCTTGGAAGTATATGGTAAGCTCTTTTGCAATTTATCAGAGTGAGATGTACACATTTGCTTATTTTTTATGAACTCTCAGTTTCAGATCATATAAAGAATTCAGAAAGGTTGTCTGTTCAACAAGAGGAACATGATGGTATTCAATTCATCAAAAGAGTTGGGAGTTCAAAACCTGCACCTGATAACCAAATTCAGCAGTCTCCTACACCCTACGTATCTCCTAATTCACCAAATTTAGAGTAATAAGTTTATACACAAAGTATATTTCTTCCTTTCTGATGTATTAATATTGTTTCCTGTAACTATCATTTATGTGCTTGTGATTTAGCAGTGTTAAAGACTCACCTCAGCAAGGAAATGACTCAGTTAAGCCAGCCTATTCTTCCCGAGGAGGTAAGTTTCAATGTGTCAACATTTTTCTCCATTTTAATTTGATACAATAATTTTTTTCATTCCAGTTGTATCTTATCAGCAAATAATTCAAGCCACAAACAATTGGGATTCAAAAAATAGTCTTGATTCTACACGGAAAGTTAACTTCTATTGTGGTCAATTAAATGGTGAAATAGTGGCCATAAAAAAACTGGGTGTGCAGGTATAAAATCATTGAAATGTTGTTTCAATCTAGAAACTCTGTTGCTTAGTGCAACTTTACAGATAATTAAAAGGTCTTCTCTGTAGAAACATGAAGCGCTGGAGGAAATACGGAAGCTTCGTGATGCTAGCAAGGGATGCGATAATATTTTGGAAATGTTGATGTTCATTGAGGGCAGTGGAAACCCCTGTCTCATATATCCTTTCGTTTTAAATCGCTCTTTATATGATTTTATTAACATTAAGGTGAGTCCATATGATGAGGCAATTTTTAAACCATTTTTTTCCGTATAGCTTTGTAATTGTTCTTAATCTATCTTTTTCAGGACAATCCCCACCTTACAGTGGATGAAAAGCTTGGGATAGCATATGGAATTGCAAATGCTTTGACATATCTTCATCACAATGTTTTCCAGTCTGTAGTCTTAGTTAAGAGGTTTGTTTTACTGTTGTACTCAAAACACATTTTTAATACAAATTTTTAATATGAATATTAAACTAACCTATTGCATTTTTCATTTCATTTTTCATTTTTTTCAGCTCCGATATTTTGCTGGGAGAATCAATGTCTCCACTGATTGCAGATGTATGCCTTCCCTCTATGGTCCATGAAAAAAAAACTTCAAGGGATCTAAGTTTATACATCCCTCAAGAAGGTAGCAAAGGAGAGAATCCAGATGTATTCTGCCTTGGAACTGTAAGCATTATTATTTAGATTTGTTGTGTATGTCTTGCTTTTGTTTTGTTTGTTGCTATCTCTATTACTGATGTGCTTTATGTCCCTCTCAACAGATTGCTTTAGAGCTCGCCGTGGGTCAGACTGTAGACAAATTACCTACTCATCCGGTAAGTAATTTACTAATCTTAAAACATACATTAGAACTCAAACTTTAAAAAGGTTATTTACACTTATAAACAATTTTAACATTCACAGGAAATCTATGTTGAGGAAAATCCTGATATTATTAAAACAATCCCTCAAATGCTTCAAGCACTTATAAAAGTGTGCTATGAGCTTTGGTCTCTCCCTGAGTCTGGTATTGATGTAATATATTTAAAATTCCCATGGGAAGGCGAGTGAGCCTAGATGCCAGTGTGTGAAAAGTGGGGTCAGGTAGGGCAATACCTCACCCACCATGTACCTGTATTGGCCCTCATTGGAGCAATAATGCTCTTTGGGCTTGTAAGACTTCATAAA